ATTTTCAGCTTTCTAATATGCTGATGCTCAAGAAACTTTTCTTTTTATTAACACTGTCGAAAACAGTTGTGCGGGTTAATGTTTTTTTTTGGTAACAGAAAACATTAAAAAAAACTTTTCTTTGATGAACAGAAAGTTGAACAGCATTCATTTGAATAAAAAATATTTTGTAGCAATATAAAATTCTTTACAGTCACTTTTGCTCAATTTAATGCATTCTTGCTAAATATGTTTCTTAAAATAACTCACAGACCTCAAACTGTAAACTGTAGTCTATATGCCGAAACTGAATATTTAGTTTTGTATGATGATTTTGTCATCATCTAACACTCATTTAAAGTTCATTTAAAAAACATAATTATATAAAACTAATAATAAAATCAACAATCGTGGCAGCTGTAATTGCAATCTTAAATTTTTTTATATAAATTGTGCATGTATTTTTATGTACTCCTGTTGTCATGTCTTATATGATGCAGAGAAGAGCTTAGTTTGTAGGAAATAAAAAGATCAACATAATTTAGAATTCACTGTTATGTTGCTCTGCAGGTACGTGTCACTCAAGGCCAGGAACCGGCCCATTTGATGAGCCTGTTCAAGGGGAAACCCATGATCATCCACATGGGTGGGACTTCACGTAAAGGTGGTCAAAGTCAGACTGGCAATACTCGCCTTTTCCATATCCGCCAGAGCTCCACCCGTGCAACACGCGCTGTGGAGGTCAGTGAGGACGGCAGGCACATACATGGACACAATCAGCAACGGCCATCTGGCAATAACCTCTTAATGTTATTTTTGGTAACAGAAAACATTAAAAAAACTTTTCTTTGATGAACAGAAAGTTGAACAGCATTCATTTGAATAAAAAATATTTTGTAGCAATATAAAATTCTTTACAGTCACTTTTGCTCAATTTAATGCATTCTTGCTAAATATGTTTCTTAAAATAACTCACAGACCTCAAACTGTAAACTGTAGTCTATATGCCGAAACTGAATATTTAGTTTTGTATGATGATTTTGTCATCATCTAACACTCATTTAAAGTTGTAAAGTGGCAGCTGTAATTGCAATCTTAAATTTTTTTATATAAATTGTGCATGTATTTTTATGTACTCCTGTTGTCATGTCTTATATGATGCAGAGAAGAGCTTAGTTTGTAGGAAATAAAAAGATCAACATAATTTAGAATTCACTGTTATGTTGCTCTGCAGGTACGTGTCACTCAAGGCCAGGAACCGGCCCATTTGATGAGCCTGTTCAAGGGGAAACCCATGATCATCCACATGGGTGGGACTTCACGTAAAGGTGGTCAAAGTCAGACTGGCAATACTCGCCTTTTCCATATCCGCCAGAGCTCCACCCGTGCAACACGCGCTGTGGAGGTCAGTGAGGACGGCAGGCACATACATGGACACAATCAGCAACGGCCATCTGGCAATAACCTTCCTCTCTGACTCACTCTCTCTCCTCACCCAGGTGGAACCCACTGCATCTAAACTGAATACTAACGACGTGTTTGTGCTGAAGTGTCCTGGCGGCCTGTTTCTGTGGAAAGGAGTGGCTGCTTCAGAGGAAGAAATGGCTGCTGCTAAACACGTCTGCAGCTTCCTTGGAGGCAGTGCCACAGACATTTCAGAGGGCAAAGAGCCGGGTGGGTGTCTGCCTTTTGTAAATGTTCAGATGTAATTTATACAGTTAAAAGGCATTCCTAAACTAATCACGTTTCCTGTTCTTTTGAACTGATTGGCACTTATCTGTATCTTTGCTTCGCTCAGCTGGGTTTTGGTCAGATTTGGGTGGAAAGAAGGACTATCAAACCTCTAAAAGTCTGCAGAAGACTGTTAAACCTCCACGTCTCTTTGGCTGCTCCAACAAGACTGGACGTTTAATTGTGAGTTAACATAAATGGAATTTGCAACTCATTTAAATTTCTTTGTTAAATGAATGCATACAATTTACTATACCTCTCCTATTTCATTTTTAGGCTGACGAAGTGCCTGGAGATTTCACTCAGTCTGATTTGGCCACTGATGATGTCATGCTGCTGGACACCTGGGATCAGGTTAGCATTTGAAGTACCGATAATGACTTAAAGTCAACATGAAATCATGTTTGCAACACATTTTACTTCTGTAATCGGATACACTTCTGAGTGAAACTGAATTTTCAAGCAGAAAATGCAGAATGAGAATAGATTTTATCCATAATTATTTGACTGGTTCTTGAAAAGTGGGTGTTATGTACCAGAATGGAGCACAGAATGAAGTTCAGTTATAGACCTTAGTCAAGGTAGAGCCTATATTAATTAATTTTTTCACAGGAATGAAAACGAGGCTGTGAGGGATAGAAGTACAGTGCGTTCAATGGATTGTACTATAGTTTAACAACATACCAATTGTTGATGTGCTGACAAAGCTGATATCTGAAAAAATAAAAACTGTCAATAGACAAAATTTCCATAAAACAGTTTTGAAAGTCGTGAAAATTATGTAATCTGTGTCCATCTATTACAGCCTTGTTATCATTCCTGTCAAAATTAAATATAAATGTAACCAGGTCTAATGTTAAACTTTAAATGTTTAATTAAATTTCTTCTTCCTTTAGATCTTTGTTTGGATTGGTAATGATGCCAACGAGGTGGAGCGGAATGGAGCAGATAAAATAGGTAAGTTAAGATGCTGAAGCACTAACTTTAACACTTACATTTATACAGTTAAGGTACCAAAAAGCAAAATCCCACAGTCCATAATGGAGGATTCAACTTGATTTAACATAGTCATTGAATGTAATTCCTGATTATTAATGTGCATGTTTCTTTACCGTTAGCCAAAGATTATGTGGATTCTGACCCCTCTGGTCGCCGTGGCACCCCGGTCATCACTGTAAAGCAAGGGTTTGAGCCCCCAACCTTCACTGGCTGGTTCCAGGCTTGGGATGCAAAGATGTGGGACACAGACCCACTGGATCGCATCCGTGGTCGTTTCTAAAAGCAGACGCATTCAGACACGCAAACCTTTATATACTTTTCCATAGTTTCCAGAATACTCACCTCAACAGTATGCAATAATGCTGCATGTTAAGCCACTATGTACTGTATTTTGCTACTGTTAATGACTTTTTGCCTTTTTGATTCCTATGCATTGACTTTGCCTTTTTATACAATTAAACTCTTTTATATTTTCTTTTATATGCTTCTGTATTCCAGTGATGTTTTCGACTACATGGTCTTTATGATTTTGAAAATGACAAGAAATGGAAATGGAAAATGTTTTTTTATATAAGCAAGACAATACCATTTGTTTGTATTCGACAACTTGGTGCCACTGGATTGTTAAAAACTGTACACGTGTATGGTTAATGCCTCATAAATTTGCAAATCGAAACATCTGAGAGAATATATTGTAGTTGCTGAAAAAAGATTTTAATGTATCTCTACAATTATTATGAATCCCAGTATATAATAATAGTAATAAAAAAAACTTTTTAAAATAGTGCTGAGTTATGTGTTTGTTGATGTGGGACTTACTGACTAACCCCAAACTTTTGAAAAATATGCATATTATGTTGTGTTTTATCAGATATTTCTTTTAGACCACATTGGTGTATAGACCTTGCATCTCTGCAGTCGTAATGTTACGTATTTTCCACCACATGTCTAGACCGTAGTGACATATGGGTCATTCTGCTGAGTCTTTATGCTGTGGATTAGGAGGTGTTTTAGCTCACCTCTCAAGCTCTTACTCGTTCTGTCTCGTTATCTTCTTTCCAGTTCTCCTTAGCCTTCATTTACTTCTTGTTCTCTCGTCCCACTGTATCATCAGAGAAAGCAGCCATGAATCAGAAGGTTGTACTGATCACTGGTTGTTCTTCTGGCATTGGATTGGCACTTGCTGTTCGTCTTGCCAAAGATGAGAAAAAGAGGTTTATGGGTAAGGCCCATAGGATATCTATAGTCGTATAATAGTGGTGTAGACCAAGTACAGTTGTAAAATGTTTGCTTTTTGTTGTACTGCACAAATACTGTGCAGAATTAACAGATTTGTTTTTCTTCAAAAGACTTTCTGTTTATCAACCAAATGTCAAAAACTAAGATTGGACATTTGTGACACTAACTAGTGTGCTAAATTAGATAGGTCTATTTTTGTTATGTTCTTTATTATTTTCACAGTGGTTACAGATATTGTATATTGTCCCACCATTAGTGCTGTCAACACAGGCATGTCACAAAACAATTATTTCTAAAAGGACAAATGTGAATGTGCACATTATGACAGAAGGGACTGTGTAATATTCATACTGTTACTGTACCGTTACAACTCAGTTTTTGTTCGTAAGCAACTTCTTAAACTTACTTCTATATAAATTGACTTTGCATGTAAATTACTCCAAACTAAGCAGCTGAGAAGCACTAATATTAGTCATTAAATAAGACTGTGATCACAATCTGTTACTTGGAAATGTTATCAGATTAGTTCAAATGAAAGTTAGCCTATATTTTGAGTTTGGCAGCGTATGTTCTTTTTATTAACACTGTCGAAAACAGTTGTGCGGCTTAATGTTATTTTTGGTAACAGAAAACATTAAAAAAACTTTTCTTTGATGAACAGAAAGTTGAACAGCATTCATTTGAATAAAAAATATTTTGTAGCAATATAAAATTCTTTACAGTCACTTTTGCTCAATTTAATGCATTCTTGCTAAATATGTTTCTTAAAATAACTCACAGACCTCAAACTGTAAACTGTAGTCTATATGCCGAAACTGAATATTTAGTTTTGTATGATGATTTTGTCATCATCTAACACTCATTTAAAGTTCATTTAAAAAACATAATTATATAAAACTAATAATAAAATCAACAATCGTGGCAGCTGTAATTGCAATCTTAAATTTTTTTATATAAATTGTGCATGTATTTTTATGTACTCCTGTTGTCATGTCTTATATGATGCAGAGAAGAGCTTAGTTTGTAGGAAATAAAAAGATCAACATAATTTAGAATTCACTGTTATGTTGCTCTGCAGGTACGTGTCACTCAAGGCCAGGAACCGGCCCATTTGATGAGCCTGTTCAAGGGGAAACCCATGATCATCCACATGGGTGGGACTTCACGTAAAGGTGGTCAAAGTCAGACTGGCAATACTCGCCTTTTCCATATCCGCCAGAGCTCCACCCGTGCAACACGCGCTGTGGAGGTCAGTGAGGACGGCAGGCACATACATGGACACAATCAGCAACGGCCATCTGGCAATAACCTTCCTCTCTGACTCACTCTCTCTCCTCACCCAGGTGGAACCCACTGCATCTAAACTGAATACTAACGACGTGTTTGTGCTGAAGTGTCCTGGCGGCCTGTTTCTGTGGAAAGGAGTGGCTGCTTCAGAGGAAGAAATGGCTGCTGCTAAACACGTCTGCAGCTTCCTTGGAGGCAGTGCCACAGACATTTCAGAGGGCAAAGAGCCGGGTGGGTGTCTGCCTTTTGTAAATGTTCAAACGATGTAATTTATACAGTTAAAAGGCATTCCTAAACTAATCACGTTTCCTGTTCTTTTGAACTGATTGGCACTTATCTGTATCTTTGCTTCGCTCAGCTGGGTTTTGGTCAGATTTGGGTGGAAAGAAGGACTATCAAACCTCTAAAAGTCTGCAGAAGACTGTTAAACCTCCACGTCTCTTTGGCTGCTCCAACAAGACTGGACGTTTAATTGTGAGTTAACATAAATGGAATTTGCAACTCATTTAAATTTCTTTGTTAAATGAATGCATACAATTTACTATACCTCTCCTATTTCATTTTTAGGCTGACGAAGTGCCTGGAGATTTCACTCAGTCTGATTTGGCCACTGATGATGTCATGCTGCTGGACACCTGGGATCAGGTTAGCATTTGAAGTACCGATAATGACTTAAAGTCAACATGAAATCATGTTTGCAACACATTTTACTTCTGTAATCGGATACACTTCTGAGTGAAACTGAATTTTCAAGCAGAAAATGCAGAATGAGAATAGATTGTATCCATAATTATTTGACTGGTTCTTGAAAAGTGGGTGTTATGTACCAGAATGGAGCACAGAATGAAGTTCAGTTATAGACCTTAGTCAAGGTAGAGCCTATATTAATTAATTTTTTCACAGGAATGAAAACGAGGCTGTGAGGGATAGAAGTACAGTGCGTTCAATGGATTGTACTATTGTTTAACAACATACCAATTGTTGATGTGCTGACAAAGCTGATATCTGAAAAAATAAAAACTGTCAATAGACAAAATTTCCATAAAACAGTTTTGAAAGTCGTGAAAATTATGTAATCTGTGTCCATCTATTACAGCCTTGTTATCATTCCTGTCAAAATTAAATATAAATGTAACCAGGTCTAATGTTAAACTTTAAATGTTTAATTAAATTTCTTCTTCCTTTAGATCTTTGTTTGGATTGGTAATGATGCCAACGAGGTGGAGCGGAATGGAGCAGATAAAATAGGTAAGTTAAGATGCTGAAGCACTAACTTTAACACTTACATTTATACAGTTAAGGTACCAAAAAGCAAAATCCCACAGTCCATAATGGAGGATTCAACTTGATTTAACATAGTCATTGAATGTAATTCCTGATTATTAATGTGCATGTTTCTTTACCGTTAGCCAAAGATTATGTGGATTCTGACCCCTCTGGTCGCCGTGGCACCCCGGTCATTACTGTAAAGCAAGGGTTTGAGCCCCCAACCTTCACTGGCTGGTTCCAGGCTTGGGATGCAAAGATGTGGGACACAGACCCACTGGATCGCATCCGTGGTCGTTTCTAAAAGCAGACGCATTCAGACACGCAAACCTTTATATACTTTTCCATAGTTTCCAGAATACTCACCTCAACAGTATGCAATAATGCTGCATGTTAAGCCACTATGTACTGTATTTTGCTACTGTTAATGACTTTTTGCCTTTTTGATTCCTATGCATTGACTTTGCCTTTTTATACAATTAAACTCTTTTATATTTTCTTTTATATGCTTCTGTATTCCAGTGATGTTTTCGACTACATGGTCTTTATGATTTTGAAAATGACAAGAAATGGAAATGGAAAATGTTTTTTTATATAAGCAAGACAATACCATTTGTTTGTATTCGACAACTTGGTGCCACTGGATTGTTAAAAACTGTACACGTGTATGGTTAATGCCTCATAAATTTGCAAATCGAAACATCTGAGAGAATATATTGTAGTTGCTGAAAAAAGATTTTAATGTATCTCTACAATTATTATGAATCCCAGTATATAATAATAGTAATAAAAAAAACTTTTTAAAATAGTGCTGAGTTATGTGTTTGTTGATGTGGGACTTACTGACTGACCCCAAACTTTTGAAAAATATGCATATTATGTTGTGTTTTATCAGATATTTCTTTTAGACCACATTGGTGTATAGACCTTGCATCTCTGCAGTCGTAATGTTACGTATTTTCCACCACATGTCTAGACCGTAGTGACATATGGGTCATTCTGCTGAGTCTTTATGCTGTGGATTAGGAGGTGTTTTAGCTCACCTCTCAAGCTCTTACTCGTTCTGTCTCGTTATCTTCTTTCCAGTTCTCCTTAGCCTTCATTTACTTCTTGTTCTCTCGTCCCACTGTATCATCAGAGAAAGCAGCCATGAATCAGAAGGTTGTACTGATCACTGGTTGTTCTTCTGGCATTGGATTGGCACTTGCTGTTCGTCTTGCCAAAGATGAGAAAAAGAGGTTTATGGGTAAGGCCCATAGGATATCTATAGTCGTATAATAGTGGTGTAGACCAAGTACAGTTGTAAAATGTTTGCTTTTTGTTGTACTGCACAAATACTGTGCAGAATTAACAGATTTGTTTTTCTTCAAAAGACTTTCTGTTTATCAACCAAATGTCAAAAACTAAGATTGGACATTTGTGACACTAACTAGTGTGCTAAATTAGATAGGTCTATTTTTGTTATGTTCTTTATTATTTTCACAGTGGTTACAGATATTGTATATTGTCCCACCATTAGTGCTGTCAACACAGGCATGTCACAAAACAATTATTTCTAAAAGGACAAATGTGAATGTGCACATTATGACAGAAGGGACTGTGTAATATTCATACTGTTACTGTACCGTTACAACTCAGTTTTTGTTCGTAAGCAACTTCTTAAACTTACTTCTATATAAATTGACTTTGCATGTAAATTACTCCAAACTAAGCAGCTGAGAAGCACTAATATTAGTCATTAAATAAGACTGTGATCACAATCTGTTACTTGGAAATGTTATCAGATTAGTTCAAATGAAAGTTAGCCTATATTTTGAGTTTGGCAGCGTATGTCATGGGGAACCGTGTTAAACGAAAAAAAAAACAAGCAGGTTGTATTTTGAGACGTCTGTGAAACTGCACATGACAGTCCAAACTTGCAGGAGAAGGGAAATATGCAGTTTCACAACTGTATGCTGTCTGCACTACACTGCTTTTACTAAAAATGCCGTTAAAAAAGGTTTCTTCATGCGTAACTTGTGAATTCTCCTAAATAAATCGACTTTGCTTGTAGATTTTCTCAAAATAAGTAGCCGAGTAGCTTTATTAGTCATTAAATGATGACTAGTCTCCATCTGTTAGCTGAAATCTTAGCAGACTAGTTCAAATGAAAGTTAAGCTAAATGTTTTGGCTTTGGCAGTGTATGCGACTAATTACTCCAAACTAAGCAGCTGAGAAGCACTAATATTAGTCATTAAATAAGACTGTGATCACAATCTGTTACTTGGAAATGTTATCAGATTAGTTCAAATGAAAGTTAGCCTATATTTTGAGTTTGGCAGCGTATGTCATGGGGAACCGTGTTAAACGAAAAAAAACAAGCAGGTTGTATTTTGAGACGTCTGTGAAACTGCACATGACAGTCCAAACTTGCAGGAGAAGGGAAATATGCAGTTTTACAACTGTATGCTGTCTGCACTACACTGCTTTTACTAAAAATGCCGTTAAAAAAGGTTTCTTCATGCGTAACTTGTGAATTCTCCTAAATAAATCGACTTTGCTTGTAGATTTTCTCAAAATAAGTAGCCGAGTAGCTTTATTAGTCATTAAATGATGACTAGTCTCCATCTGTTAGCTGAAATCTTAGCAGACTAGTTCAAATGAAAGTTAAGCTAAATGTTTTGGCTTTGGCAGTGTATGCGACTATGAGGAACCTGGCTGAACGTGAAGCTCTGGAGAAGGCAGCAGGTCGTACTTTGGGCAGCACACTGGAGATCAAGCAGCTCGACGTCTGTGATGAGAATTCTATCAAAGCCTGTGTGGACAGCCTGCCCATGCGCAGAGTTGATATTCTCGGTAAGGGTTTCCTACATTTATTTCTTACATCAAAACACAAATGCTATGCTTTAACTTTGTGGCCATAATATCTCATTTTACCCGCATACCGTGTGCACGGCGCCTTAATATAAGGCGGAGACGGACATAATCGTAACACACACGGGTTTTTTTTTACACTGCCCTTAACCCCGGATTATTTTAAATCTAAACCCCGCATTTAACCCTGGTTAAAGGAACGTTTCATACTTGTAATTAAGAAGTGGGTTAGCACCACTTTTTTTCACCGAGGGTTATGGTGCAAAGTTAGCATCGTTTTTTCGATGTACAGAGTGAAATTATACGGCGGTAAAGTTAGTTTGACGTTTGACATTCATTAGACATTCGGGTTTTTTGTGTTTTTTTATGTTTTGAGCCCAAACTAACTCAGGTAGACATAAATATATGCCCTTTATGTTGCACAAGGCTTAAATTCTAGGAATTAATTTTTTTTTAACCATTTAAATTAATTAAACTCTGACACAGTTTGAGATAAAGATATCAGACCAACTGTACAATATTCAGAATATTATTTCCTATAATGCACAAGGCTTGGTTTTTCAGATGATGCCTTTATTGTTTTTATATATAGCACTGAAACCATATTTTGCATATGTTGTACATACTGTATCCACTTAAATTAATTAAACTCTGACACAGTTTGAGATAAAGATATCAGACCAACTGTACAATATTCAGAATATTATTTCCTATAATGCACAAGGCTTGGTTTTTCAGATGATGCCTTTATTGTTTTTATATATAGCACTGAAACCATATTTTGCATATGTTGTACATACTGTATCCACTTAAATTAATTAAACTCTGACACAGTTTGAGATAAAGATATCAGACCAACTGTACAATATTCAGAATATTATTTCCTATAATGCACAAGGCTTGGTTTTTCAGATGATGCCTTTATTGTTTTTATATATAGCACTGAAACCATATTTTGCATATGTTGTACATACTGTATCCACTTAAATTAATTAAACTCTGACACCGTTTGAGATAAAGGTATCAGACCAACTGTACAATATTCAGAATATTATTCCCTATAATGCACGCAAGGCTTGGTTTTTCAGATGATGCCTTTATTGTTTTTATATATAGCACTATATAAAAATATAAAAATTCATAAAATTATTATAAAAAACATAAAATTGTAATTCCAAAAACGGAGCTTTGTGCGATAACAGGTATGTTTTTCCAAACATTTTAGTATTGGTTTTATATTATAATGTCATGTAGTTAAATTGTTTAATTAATTTAAATGGTTAATTTTTTTT